TTTATTTAAACAGAGAAGGAAATTCATGGCTCTGCATTAAATAATTTTCACATGGCCACATTTCAGCATACTCAAGCTAAAGTGAAGGGTAACCTGTGGTTCATATTTAAGTCATGCACATAATAGGAAATAAGTACTATACTCAGCTCTACATAGTTGAAAGGCAAAGCGTATCTTCAATTTCCTTATTACTAGTCCTTTGCTAAAATCTAAATAGGAACCTTTTCCCTTTCCTAACTGCCAAGTAAATATAAACAACATCTGTTTATGTAAAATGCCTAACTCCATTTGGTCAGCCAACCAGGAGAGCTTCTTTAGAATCAACTGTTTATTTTAAAGTTACATGATACCCAATAGGTAGGAAAGCCAGTACTTTCCTCCCATATTTTAATAACAACCAATTTAGTCATTTAAAAAAAAAATTCTAAAATAAATATTCTTTTTAGGAAACAAAGTGTTTATATCTAATAAAAAGATTTTTTTTTTCTTTTTTCTGGTGAAATGAATCATCTCAGCCACTTTGCTTTTTCAGATTATGGCTCAGTTTAATGTGATAATTACTAATCAGCCTTAAAGTGAATAGCATGTTCTCATGGAAACTAGTATGGAGACTACTCAAGCTTTAGTGCCCTTAAGTAATCTCAATATAACCACTATAGTCTTCTAAGAGTTACTTTCTTTGACATTCATTATTGCTTTTTAAAATTATTTTCAGCTCAACATGATACTTTGTATTAGTCATTGTCTTTGCATCTCAAAAATTTTTAGTTGTCTTTACTTGAGATGTTTTTACTCAAGTAAAAACTTGATGACCTGTTGCTAACATGCAGGAGGCATACAGTAGCTTGAAAAAAAAATATTTTCCAAAATGTAAACTGATGTGGGATGGACACAGCACCAGGGTTTGCAGAGATCATTGTTTGTTTTTTTCCATCTGTCCATTTCACTGTTGTCATTATAGAATAATTCACCAAAAAAAGCCAAAGTACTTACTATCTTCCTAATGTCAACATTTCATCATTTCAAATTAGTTAGGTGACCAACTCAAAAGCCTTAAAAGAGTACTTGAAGAAATTACAGCGTATTTGTCTAGCTGTTTTTCATGGTGCCACAAAACACTTAAGATTGCCATGTATAAATTAGTGAGACCAGTTACATTCTTTTGGATTAAGTTGCTCATAATTTGAGTTGGCCAATCAACGTAAATATTATCTTTAGAGCAAGACCATACTGATTTGGTTCCTTATATGGGAACTGTCATTCTCAAGAATTTGAAGCATTGATAAATTTCTGTGTGCCAATTTTATGCAGGTATCTCTGGTACTCTGATCTCTTTTTAGCTCTAGGTTTTTATGGTAAAGTTTGTTGAAACTAATTCTCTTCAAATGTACAATATTCTTATGATAGACAAACAAAAAAGAAATGCATTTTATCCTAGCTGGAAGGGCATAAAGTAACTTATATGTGTGTCATAAACTATTTGTGCCTTAATGCTACAGCTGGTTTATTTTAGACCATTTATTTGGTATTACTTTAAAAAGCTCTAGCTATGAGCTATTCCCTCCAGCCTTGTTACAAATCTCATAATATCGCTTCAAAAGGAAAGAAATGTGTTTCACCTCCTAAGATCTTGTCCCATTGCCCTCTCTAGCTGGGCCTTTTTACTTTTTTGCTATCCTTAGGGCAACTCATGCTGGTAAAATGGAAATGTAAATTATTGTGTTTGCACAGAATGAGCTGTAAAGTAGTGCAGCTTAACACGTGTGCATGTGTTTATTACCTGGTTTTCTTGACACAGCCCAGTTACTCTGTATGTTGCCTTTAATTATTGGTGTGAGGGGATTATGTGCCTTGCATCCTGAATCACCTGGTTTCTTGAATCTCTGGGGTCAGCAGTTAAAATTCAGGAGCCAAAGCCCCCACAGTGAACAAGCCGTTTTACTTGGGAATGTGTGTGTGTGTTTCTATTTGTATTGTTTCCCTAAATGTCATGTAGACAGAAAAGCTATTTACTTGGTTTTAATTGATCATAATGAATTCGACTGATTGTATTTGGAACTCATTATTTTATTTTCAGATTATTTAGTAACACACCTCTCTCTATGGCTGGCAGGTACTGAAAGGTAACTCTAAAGCACAATTGCAAGGCTTTTTAAAGCCAGTGCTTATTTCAAATATTTGAGACATTGTTGCTGGTAACTCATTTTATAATCTTCTTTGTAAATTCTGATGTCATCAAATTTCTCACAAATTGATTTCCTTAAGTTCATCAAGGTAAGACATTTGTAATTGCTTACTAAAAAAAATTTTTTCGTTTTTACCTAATTTTTTAAAGTGTTTTGTTTTTCTTAGAAAGAAATGCTAGATTTTCTTCTTATGCTATCATTTCCTTACCTTACTATTACCGGAAACAAAGCAAAACTGGTTGATCACAAATCATAGACTCCATATGAGGCGAGTCTTCATTAAAATGTAACCAAATCGACTAAACAAAAAGATTCTGACAAGACTTTATTTCATAAGATCTTTTAGTATGTCTATGGCTACTTTTATTGTTTTCCTTACTCCAAAGTTTTTCTTCATATGATAATTTGAAAGTATGATAGGTTTCCTTAATCAGTTTGCTTGTTTTAAGGCTAAAATGTTTTAGTACTGATAATGCTAGAAGTAGTTTTAGTGTAGTAATAAATTATATAGTAGACCACTTTACTAAAGAGAGATTCTGCCATATGTTTTTATAGGTAGGAATAATGTTTATAATGGTGGCAGAAGCATGCAACCTCTCTGTGAGCTCTAAAGAAATGGTCATTTCTGAGTCCAATTTCTGTCTCCAGGAAACCTCAATGATATTAATAATTGTGAATAAATGTTCTTACATAAAAATATTAATAATGACATTTTGGGGGAACTAACTACATAACAAGCACTCACCCTAGGCACTTCAATAGCAAGTTTTAAAGAACTTTCTTTTCTGTGATGTCTAATAGCTAATTCTTTTTGCTAAACTATTCAAAATAGAAAAAACTTCAAAAGTAGAGTTCTCCCTTCAAAAACTAGTCCACACATAGTTTGCCTACAGCAAGGGCAAAGGGCTTGCAGTTTCCTTATTTCTGTGGCTATTTACTCCCTAGCTATTGGTGTCTTCTCAAATATCTACATTCTTCCTCAAAATAGTGCAGCTATTCTTTTGCAGTATCCGTATCAACACCGGGCAGAAGTAGTAGTGTCAGCCTTTTTTCTCCAATGTTCTCCATTCGCTCCTTCACCTTCCCATTTCTATTCTGCTGTCTCAAAATTATCTGAAGAAGCAGCCGAGGAAAATAAGAGTTTTTACTTCTCATCTCTCTTGGCCAATATTTTTTAATAATCTATTTATTTTTATGTCTATATTTGTTTACTCAAAGCCTCTATAGAAGCTTTGAGTAAACAAATATAGACATAAAAATTATTTTATGTCTATAAATTATTGACATAAAATTATTATGTGGTATCACCATGGCATTCACGAAGTTGTACCGTATGTCCACAAACTGATCATTTTGTAGCCCAGACTCTGAAATCCTGGACTCATTGGCCTAATGTCCATTGTACTGAATTCTCTCAGAACAATTGCTGTCATCACAGTTTCTACAACTATTTCCCAAAAGTACAAAACTGACTCAAAGAAATCTTTGGCTCATCATAAAATGTTCAGTTTCAATTTTGCCAAAAAGATTCTTCCATTATAAAATAATATTGGAAAAATAAAGTCTTATTTTATTTATTATTTTTAGGATAAAAAAATTATTCAATATTCTAGTGTGATAAATGAACAAAATATATCACCTTTAAACATCTATGTTCTTTGATAAAACAATGTTACCAATATTTTTAACCAGTATTACCAAAATTAAAAAGAAAGCCAAAAATATCAGTACATACACTATAGGAGTTAAATTACATTTTCCTTTAATGTTAGAGCATGTTCATGTACTTTAATAGATATTAGGCTCACTTTTTAAAATATTACTTTTTTCACAAGAAAGTTTATTGAACATTCCAAATTGTTTCTAATATGAGATGTTATTTCAAATGATAGGAATCTCACTCATATTGAATCAGATTCAGAATGATTTTCCTATATCTTTTGTCTTTGCTATTTTGATTACAGAAATCATGAAAAATTTTCATGTTCGGAATAATTAAATAAATTATAAAGGTTTATATTTAATAAACTATAACATAATTTATCTTTGGAATTTAGCTCTTTAGCACCATTATCAAACTTATAGAGAATAATTATATTGCCTTTAACCTGTTGAAAAGCTGCACAGTAAGATTTTAGTTAATTGATGCTATATTAATATATACATATGGTACCCATATTATATATGCGTAAATTTACAACTTAAAGTAGATCTATAATTGTAGAGTGGAATTTTGATTGTGAATGTTAGTAAAAGCATAAGTATCAGAAGACATGCCATTTTCTATCCTTTAATTAATTTATCTGTAATTACAGCAGCTATCTCATCTTATAAAAAAGTGTATCACAAACTTTGATTTATTGTCAGATGTGGCATTGTAATAGATATTTGGTTACCATTTATGAAATTGTAAATGTGCAATAGGGTGATGGTATGCACTCACAAGTGCTAATGGTAATAAATTACTGGGCCTGCACAATTCTGAGCCGTCTTTTTATCTTTAAGATCCTCCTTAAGAAAAAGAATGTCCATTTTCTAATGTTTTTGCAGAGAAAGCTCATTGTGGTTTCACTTTATGTTTCATTATGGGGGACTTCTTTTTAGAACTTGGTCAACACTTAGTCCTAACTGCCAATTTCTGTGATACCTTAGAATAAACTAAAAATTGGTGTCCTTTATCATAGTGGGGATTATTTTTAACCAATAATGTTATCATGAAACTTGCTCAATAAAAGTGTTATAAGTCTAGCTACAATAATACCTTTTCTTCCTTCCCTTTAAACAGTAAAACTTCCAGGTCTCAGGACTTACGTTGACCCCCACACATATGAAGACCCTACCCAAGCAGTTCATGAGTTTGCTAAGGAATTGGACGCCACCAACATATCCATTGACAAAGTTGTTGGAGCAGGTAACCACCACAATAACCCCACTGTCAATCTAGTATTGTTAGTTACAAGTTTATAGCTACAAATAAGAAACCTGAGATTGCTCAAGTTTTCAGGCCTAAGTATACTGCTATGAAAAAGCAATTTTCTGATTTCATGATCAAAGGTAGGCAATAAATAGATGGGATATTAATGGAATGTAATGATTTCAAAGATGCCAGACCATGGCCAGCTTTTTATTTATTGAATTTCAGAGGCGGCGGCAGCAACAGCTCATTCTTCCCTACGCTGATCATGTGTCACAAAGACTATCTGGCTAAATAGGGGTTACAGGATAAAAGTGTATCTTACTTTAGATAAGCTCACTAAGTGAAATTTTGGATTTGTAGAAAAAAAAGGTAATTTTAGAAAGTTCTTTGGAATTTAAAAAATAGACAACATAAAATAAAATCATAAATGACAAATTTTAAACAAATTTCATGACAAATATTTTGAGTGGATAGTTAAATAATGTGAAGTGCTCCATTTTATTACTTGCCTGTAACTTTGTAGTCTTAATTTATCTGTTGAAGCTTGTTTTTATATAGACATCTCTTCATTCTAATCATTAATTTGATCTGTTATAAATTCATTAATCATTATGGAGCGATTATTAATAGCTGTTGCATATTCCTGATACAAATTATAGAAATTTATAAAATAATAGTATTTTATACCCTTACACAAAAACATGGACATGTACAGTACAAGAAGTGTGCATTTGAATGAAGCTAATACTCGAAAGTAAAAATAAACAATACTGTACAATAATAGTTTTACACCATCATTTCACTCTTTAATATCGCTCTACAAACACAAACTAATAATGTTGATGTGGGAAATACAGTGAAAGACTGAGAAATCAGCTTATTGAATTATGCATAACATATCAGATCAAATTTCTGCAAGTACAATATTTATGATTGATGCTTCTTTATACAAATGTGCATATAATTTTCTGTTTAGAACTTAAACAGTATTTACTATTCTAGTAGGACCATTTGAGTATTTCATGTTATCTAAATGAAATAAGTTACTAAAACTCTTTCTCTTAATATTGTATCCTCTTAAGGCTTACATGTGTAAGTAATATTAAATTATTAAATTATTGATTCATAAAAGAAACCAAGACTTCTTTTTTTCCACAATCTAAGACTTAAGGATAAATACATTCACTGTACATCCAGTTAAAACAGATATATATTGATTACTCACTTTCATTTGTATAGTTCTGCTCTGTGAACTGCTCCATGGTGCAGAGGGTGTTTGTCATTTTATTAATGTTACCCCACAAGAGTGCACTGTTCTCCAACATGGAAGCCACAGTAGCAGAACAAGGACTTTGCACAGTCAACTGGAGAATCTGATGACAGGAGGAAAAATCCACTCAGCCAATGTCCAGAAGGTCAGACCGACACATTGGGACCTTGAATTTGGAATCTTCTGCAGTAATAAAAGCTTGTATATAAAGATGTTATTGACAAAGCTAGATGTCTAGAACACAGCGGTGTAAGACAAAGCACACTCATTAACAATAGTATTGGATAAATTAGGTAAAGAGGAGTACTTATACTGAATCAGTCAATATTCACTGGTGCTCTTTAAAGAACAGATCATCTTTTCCCTTTCTATCTCCAAATATATTATAAAAAATTAGATATATGCCCCTGTTTTCAGGGTTTTGCTGCCAATATTCTCATTTGTCACATTAAGGGAATTAAGACTGTGCCTATTTTGTTTGCAAATAAGTGTATCTTCAAAATAGGTTATGCTTCTCCTAGAAGATTTCAATATCATATATGCACTAAATTCTAGTCTGTCTTGACTAGCCTCTAAAGTGTTTGTCATTACCGTGGTAGAGTATAAAATCAAGACTTTGAAATGTTTTGTTCTACAAAATTTTAAACATCTACAAAAATAGAAAACATTGTGTAAGAGTATAATGAACCGGCATGTACCCATTTCTACAACTACAATAACAATCCACTCATGGCCAGCCTTCTTTCATCTATATGCTTAATTTTTCAAATAATGTTGTGCATAAAAAATAAATACTTATGCTAAATTGATTAGCAATTATCTTTCATTGTTAAAAGGCTAATTTTCTGTCAGAGCTTTTATACAAAGAAATAGGTAAAACATAAATTACTAATTTTATTCTCTAATCTAACCATTATATCAGAGATTAAATACTCAAAATTTCCTAAAGTAGAAAATATTTATTTAACTCCCATTTTATGTTAAGCATTCACATGATATTTAACTTTATTCTTGTAGATAAGTATTATCTTCATTTCACCAGATGATGAGTCAAAAGCTGAAAATTTGAATGGCCTATTATTACACAGTTATTAAAGGAAAGCAACATTACATTTGAATCTTGTACTTTTCAATTTAAAAGCCCTTGCTAGCCACTGACGATCAAAATAGTGCCTTTTCTAGAATTTTCATGAAGGTTGTGATAATTCGTATGTAGTATTTAGCTAACATACCAGCATTATTTCATATGTATTTTTGTTATGCTTCTTTTACTAAAATAGTAGAAGGAGAATGGGCTTTGAGGCTAGTACAAAGGGTCATTCTATTTAAACACAGGTATATTTTTCCCTCTATTTTAAGTGAAATAAATGTGAGTAAAAAAAAATTATTTTGAGCAATTGTGCATTGTGCATCTTAAATCAGAATATAGTATAACAATTCTCACAAAGCATGCTTTATTTTAAAAGACAAATACTGTACTTGTTAAATTAAAGAATCAAGCAACACTTTTTCTAATGATCTATTTGTAGGTATGCTTTTATATAGAAATATTCTGATCTAAATTTTCTTTCTTATAGGTACAAAGTTAATTGGATAAGACCATGTAAAACTTGATTAGATGGAATGATCAGGCATTGCATTTGCCAAGTCTTCATTAATTTTCTGAACATAATTCTTTTTAGTTAGTATAAAGAAAAATTAATATTTAACATTTTGTCTAGTATAATATATTGGTGACCATTTCTAGTATTTGATGAAATAATCACATTTCTAAATGTTGTGATTTTTAGAAATTAGCATTACTAAAACATCATTTTCTGAATTTTGGAGGTGTATACATATATATGTATACACACACTTATGTCCATATATCCCACTGAGAACAAAGAAAGAACTTTAATTGGCCCACATGAAATTCAAACCCTTCCCCTTTATCTCCTTAGCAAGGGAGATAAAAGCTTGTATATACAGATGTTATTGACAGATGTTATTCATCTATCTGCTCTTTTCTAGGAATATTTGTCCAATACGACATTAACCTTGTCTTCATCATCATGACCATCTTTTCTTACATTAATATAGCATTTGGCATTTTAAAAAGCATTTTTATGTTTATTCTTCAATTTATTCTAACTTTTGAGGGGTAAATAGATAATTTATTCTTCTTAACATGGGTTTGAAGAGAGGAAAATAGTGGCAAATACTTAGATGGCACTTATTATGTGTTTGGCACTCTTCTAAGTGCTGTACATACATTAATTTCTTTAACAGCACAAAAACCTTATAAGATAGACACAATCCGTGTTCCTATGCTTTAGATAAAAAAACAAACGACAGAGAGGTTAAGACACTCACATAAAATTATAGAGCTAAAAAGTAACAATGGCAGAATTAGACCCTATACAGTTCAGTTCCAGAATTCACGCTCTGACATCCAATTTTTTTTTCTGCCAATGCATTTTATTCTTTTAATTTATTTTTTAAGTATAGTTGGTATGCAATCTTATATTGATTATATTAGTTTTAGATGTACAATATAGCGATTCGACATTTTTATAACTTACAATGTGATCACCCCATTAATTCTAGTAATCATCTGTCACCAGCTAAACTAATCCCAATATATAGACTATATTTCCCTTCCACTTTCACCTATCCTCTCACCCCCTCCTTTCTGGTAAACATCCCTTTTAGTCTTCATTTCTATGTCTGTTTTTGTTTTGTTTTGTTTATTTTATTTTAGATTTCACATATAACTGACACCATATACTATTTGTCTTTCTTTGCCTGACTTATTTCACTTACTATAATACCATATAGATCAATCCATTGTTGTAGCAAATGGCAAGATTTCATTCTTCTTTTTGGCTGTGTAATATTTCATTGCGTATATGTGTGTGTGCATGTGTGTGCACACACATGTGTGCAGATGTATGTATGCCACATCTTTATCCATTCATCTATTGATGGACACTTACATTGCTTCCATATCTTGGCTGTAAATAATGCTGCAGTACACATAGAGTTGAATATATCTTTTAGAATTAGTGTTTTCATTTTCTTTGGATAAATACCCAGTAGAAGAATTGTTGGGTCTTATGGTATATCTATTTTTAGTTTTTTGAGGAATCTCCTTACTGTTTTCTATAGGAGCTGCACCAGTTTGCAGTCCCATCCACAGTACACAAGGGTTTCCTTTTTTCCACATTCTCACAAACACATGTTATTTGTTGACTTTTTGATAATAGCTGTTCTGACTGGTGTGAGGTAGTATCTCATTTTGATTTTGTTTTGCATTTCCATAATGATGAGTGATATCAAGTATCTTTTCATGTGTCTGTTAGCCAGATGACATCCAAATTTAAAACACAACCTATTACCCCATATTGCTTCATGATAGTGCAGAACTTTCAGAAAATGAAAATTTATTATGGATGCCTCCTTATAGTTTGTCCAAAATTAATGTTTACACGAAATAAACTGGAGCTCTCTGGTAATGTTTCGATAATCCTGTATTTAAAAAAGATCAATGAACATTCTCAAGTTTTGCCCCTAATCCTTCCTATAATCCTAAGGAACACTCTAGCTGAGATACTGTGGTCTTCTCTACACTTTCTTCACCTTATTTACCATTATATCTCTGTGTTTTTTCATAGTATCTGTCATACTGTTGTCAGTTGATGAGTGTTTATTAAATAACTGCTTTCAGACCTTAAATGATTCTGACAAATTGCAGCATAAATCATTGTTTTGAAAATAGTGGCGAGACTGGATTACTAAGAAATGGGGAGTTTAGAGTTTCCTGGAGAGAAACAAGTCCTTTGTAGTGATGTAGTTGCTAAATTTTTAGGACAACCTGCTGCTTCTGTGGGTCAAACTACTTGGACAAAGAAGAAACTCACTTTTTTATACCTTCTGTCTGGCTGATTTACGAGGCATGAATCTTTTACAAAAATTCACAGTGAGGTTGGACCAAGAATGTTATTCCATTCCACAAAAAGCCTAAAAATGGATCATGCAATTAACTCTTTTCCGAAAAACTTTCCATTTGATATTAGAAAAAATTTTAATCTTGTACAAAACCAATCTAATAATCCACACAACGTTAGGATTTCTTCAATAAACAAGGGGCATTATATGGATGGCACTACTTTATGACTATCACTATAGCAGCAATGAATTCAGAGAAATAAATATAAAGGGTCTCTGCTCTCAGGAAGGTCAAAATTTAATGAAAAAGCAAATCTTCTCAATAACAATATATATGAAGATAGTCCTTAAACTAGTTCCAGGCAATTTTTTAAAAATCGAATTAGACTGTTTAAAAGTCAGCAACATTTTATATTCAACAAATTTTTGATTAATTGTTCATTTAAGACAACTTTTTATTGAAGACATTGAATCTAAGAAAATATTTCGATGGTAATTCGATAGGTAAAAAATGTGCTTTTATTTGATACTGTTATGTTATTGTTCTCCTTCCAGAAGCCTAGAGAACTTTACAACTAGTGTATCGATAACGCAATACACCAATACTCCAATAAAATGAATTGATAGCAGATGCTTTGATTTTCATTTTCAGAGGATCTGAGTATATAATTAAATTGGCCTTTTTAATAAAAATGGAATAGTTAGAAACACGTGAAATTTAATCTAATGCTCAACCAATAATCTTCCTGCTGGTCTGTTGATTACCTGAGGAAATGGTAGCTATACAAACAAGGAGTGAAAAGTCTAATAGATATAGCTTTCAACATTTCTCTTGTTCTTTCATTTTGCATTATTCATAGTGTGATACTTAAAAATATATGAGGCTTCTCACATGGTCCATTTACTACTAAGCTGTAGATGTCCTCAGGCTTCTTAGGGAGTCTCAGATTACTATCTTCCCAAATAATTTGGAGGTCTACAATGTACATCTTCCAGGTCAAAAGCATAAATATTAAGAGGAAATAATTGCTCTCTACTGCTGATTTTTTATCATATAATTTCTTACCTTTTACTATTGTTTTGTTCTTCTGCATTCTAACAGGTGAATTTGGGGAGGTGTGCAGTGGTCGCTTAAAGCTTCCATCCAAAAAAGAGATTTCAGTAGCCATCAAGACACTGAAAGTAGGCTATACTGAAAAGCAAAGGAGAGATTTCCTGGGAGAAGCAAGCATTATGGGACAATTTGACCATCCCAATATCATTCGATTGGAGGGAGTTGTCACTAAAAGTAAGTCAAATAATAAGACCAACTTTTATGTATGTTGAGCAGAGTTTATTTAAACCTGAACTCAATCATTTAACAAGTTTAGTCTTTTTTTCATGAGTATCTATCATTCATAATAAAAAAAAAACAGTTTAAGATTAACATGTCTTTCTTTGACAAGAGGACAGATAGTTAATTAGTATTATACTGATAGTTCTATTCTAGATCTTAAAAAGCTTTAAGTCTTTAGGAGCTAAACATTTGACTATATTAATACATGCTCATTAAAATATGGTTAAAGAGCGAATTTTTTGTTATGTAGTGTAGCAAGGAAAAATGATAATTCAGATAATTCAGAAATTGCCAGGATCTCCCAGCTAGCTAGCTTTTCTTTTATTGTTCACCAGTTTCATTTAAGTTTCCAAATCTTTACCCCACTGGCTTTAGAAAAATTATGGGAGTTTGGGGAATGCTTCTGAGCTATAATGATTGAGATCATATTAGACTCAAGGCATTTTCTCAGTTCTCTGAGGATTTCAAATAATTTTGATCTACAGTCCCATATGGATTCTTGTCTGGTTTGGGGAAGCTCTGGCTCACAGCCTGTGATAGAGATCTAAACTTATTTCCATGATGATTTCTCCAGCCAGACTCAAAAGGGATCCGGTGAGGCAACTATATGATTTTTGGCTTCAATCCCAATGAAAATCTCTTGAGAATGCTGTGAGATTTTTTTTTCCTCAAGATTTTGAAACAAAAATTGAAGAATAAGCTATATTGGCAGCAAACTCCTTAGAGTGAAAGATGACATATGACAGGGAATTTGACATCCTTTATGGGATACTTCATTGGCACAACATTTACATATTGTATGGCTACCAGTAGACATTACACATTATATTTTTCACAATGATATTTTTCTTTAACATTACATGAAGCACTTTCCTAATGGTACTAATACCTATTCTCATTTTAGTATGACCAAAAAGGCAATTCCTTCTTCACAAGAGCATGTATAATCGAAATATACTTTGGTATCCTCTAGAGTTTTCTTATATAATAAATGAGATTAAGATCTTAACAATGCAGAAGAATTTATGCATAAACTGTAAACCCATATTAAGTAATGTAAGAAGTGTTTTTTCCCTCTGTACTACTAAAAATTAGGCCATACTTGTAGTAGCACTGAAATATTTTCTGACAAAAGCTTTTTTTAAGTTTTTAAAAATTAATTATAAAAACACTATTAGTAGTGGTAAGGATTAGAGAATTTTTGAATACTTTGTTCCTTTAGGGCAAGACCATACTGCTTAATATCCATGGAATAGAATCATGTCTCGGTGGTGTTTTAATAGTCAATTTGCCATTTATTCTCCACCATAGCATCCTTACCAAGGATGCTTGTCTTTCATATCTTGAGTCCCACTGGGAGAGAAAACTCATTTGTATTTTCGTAACTATTTTTTTTTAACTTTCAATTTTCACAAGCTTCTTTTTTTGAGTTGACTATTATGTGCTCAACATTGTACTGCAAACATTATTTTATTCTTACCACTATCCTGTGAATTAGATATAATTCCATTTTACATTTGAGCAAACAAAATAAAGAGCAAATAGCTTGTCTGACTGAGAGTGCTAGTTGTGGCACTGGGGACTTGGTCTGGTGGTTTCAACTTTATCACTAATTCTAGACAATAATGAGTTTCTACTTTTTTCATCATATTTTACTTATTTTTTATATCTTGACTTCTTTATCGTCCTTAATAAGTTGATTATAGCAGGGCAACCCTCAAGTTTTAAAACTTCCTGTAGATAATTAATAATTTTTAATATTTAAAAGAAAATGTAAACTTTCATAGAGAGCAAATCCATGTTATTTGATAACCAGTAATCAAACAGAACCTGAATCATAGTAGGTACTTAATTTAACAATATTAAGGAATAAAAAATTGATTGATTTGTTAAATAAATGAATGAATAAAAGAATGAATGAATAGAGAGACAGTGTCTTCTACCAATACTTCTTTCTTTAGTGTTGGTTCATTTAATTGAATGCACATTTCAACTAAGTACAATTGGTAACTGCTTGCAGTACTCAGAGAGTGATGAAGGAAATGGTTACATTTAGCATGGGCAGAAAATAAGATAAAAGTAACTATAAAAGTAAACATTAAGTTTAAATTTTTAAAATAAATAAATAAATTTAAGCTTATTAATTTCTCATATTATCAAATGTGAGTTGATTTTTTTTTGGTTCTGGTATTATGAATTATTGAAAGCAACTTATATTTTGCTAGCTATTTTCTATAAATTCATTTACTGAATGATAAACAACATTAAACTATAATTATTGTGACAGTTTTTTTAGATATAAAAATGAAATGGTCAAATATGAATTACTGTTACTTGGCAAAGAAATCCATAAAACAATCCTCAGGGCCAAAATGCAGGGGGGAGAAATGCATTAAGGGAAAAAAAATGACTTTTAAAATTTCAGATACATTAAATGTCTTATTTGAGTCTGATTCCATAACATTCCAATATGAATTAAACTGTCTTATTCTTAGGGTGAAAGTTCTAAATTTGATATATCTCCCTGGTCAAATAAGCATGTAAGAAGCTGCCAAATCTGACTATATAAATCCCAGTCATCTCATATAGTGCAGACATAATAGAGCAGCAGACTTAGAATTAGATTTTGAGCTCCTTTAGTGGCATATTTAAAAGTTCTAAGTCTGGCACCCTGTAACATCTGAAAAAAAATAGAAATGTCCTAGAATAAGGTCAATATATTGCAGTTAACTTATAAAGAAAATAATTTTATCACCAGAAGAAATTATTCAATCCACTCTTATTATTTTTCTTTGTTTCCTGAGACTATATAATGGCTAAAATAATCTATCTGCAAAGTTCAAACACACACACACACACACACACACACACACACACACACACACACACACACACCCCTAGAGTAATGCAGAGCTTATAATTTAATGAACAAAATTGTATTTAAAGAAGAAAAGCAAGCCTATCTGTGTCTGGATGAAGAATCAAGGGGTAAGAGTTTAAGTTCTGACTCAACCCTACTGGTTGTGAGATCTCTGGCAAATCAAACCACTCACAGAGACTCGCTTTTTTCACTTGTAACATGAAATTAGCAGTTCTACTTTACTATTTCCAGATACTTTAAAGATCAAATAAGATTACATTGAAATATATTATTAAGTAGAATAGAGCTATGAATACCTAAATTATCACTTCTGGTGAGTTTGAGATTTTATGTTAATCTTAGGAGTATAGAAGAATATGCTTGAAAACGATTCCTTTTCTTGCTCCAAGATAATTCTTTTTATTATTGCTATTAATGATGTGCTTTGAAGTTCTCAGTCTATTATAATGTATCATTTTCAACTCAGAGAAAACTCTTTATTCAATCATTATACTTTCATTTATTTGAATCGAGCCATAAACAATTTTAATGGTACATTTTGAGCTTGATGGTCTTAAACAAGAGAAGGTGAGAGAGTCTCTGATCTTCAAAATAGCAGAAAGCCGGGGATACAGTCTTCGCTCAGAACTTGGCACTAACATGTGTTATCAATTTTACTTTAAGTTCAAAAAGATGGAACTTTTTTAAAACAAATGTTTGTATTTCTGCCATCACACCATTAGTCAAATGATATTCAGACTCTAAGACCTCCATTGGCCACTTTTCACCTACTGAAATAAAAGGAATTATATTCAATGAAATTGATGTGTTTTTTGTTGTTTTTTAAGAAAGGATCATTTACTGAAAATTAAAAAATAGTAACAATAATGTAACCTAACTGTAAACTGGTATTATTGAGGAATGCAATAAGCAGAACATAAAGATGATTTCTCATAATTAAAACATTTCTATGTTGGTGTGAGCATCCACTTTACACAAAAACTTAGTCATTTGTTTTTACCTTTCTATCTCTCCACATATGATAAGGAAATATTGCTAGAATAAGATGTCATTCTTTAGTGACAATGCCAAATTCTTACTATTTTCTGTTTGCCTCTCTCTGAAAGTTTTCTTCTGCACTTGTCTCAAGGGTACTGTACTCCATGTCATATTCTCAATAGATAATATTTAGTTATACTTATTTTATTAATAATTTACAGAAACAATTTGTTAGAATAATCCATTTTGGAAACTGATGACATAAGTTATCATGCATTCATGACTGTAATTTGATAAATGAGTTGAGAATATATAAGTGCCCACATCAAGAAAACTAAGAAAATCTCTACTCAATATATTGGAGAAAAAAATAAGACAAGGAATGTTATCTTTACATGCCTAAAGAACTTTCCTTATTTCTTCAACATTATTCACTATGTCTCCTAAATGAATTGGTTGCATTTGAATTAAAAAAGAATGTGTTGTATATTTTTCCCAATAATTTATATAGGATGAGTCTTTGATAGTTTTAAAAGATTAAATTCAACTTACAAAATTTGTTAGAGCATGACTTGCATGTGCCCAAAGACTGCCTTTTAAAAATTGCTAGTTTAAATATACAATAACTCTCCTAAAAGAAGAAGAAATATTATTATATAGTTATTTATTAACTGTCTGAATAATTCTAGTCTTACACAAACTGTTGTAGAAAGGGAGAAAAATAAACACTACAAATTCATGAGGCTAGTGATATCTTGATAACAGCTCAAACAATATTATCAGAAAGGAAAATAACAGGTCAGTGCAACACATGACAAAAATTCAATAACACTTAAATAATTATGAAAACATGACTAGTAATGTATTAAAAAAGATACTATATCTTGCCCTAGTTTAGTTTATTCCAAGAATGCAAAGTCGGTTTGATATTTAACATTCAAGAAATTCGCAACATTAATAGACAGGGAAAAAAAGTTAATATCAATAAATATAAAAAATAACCATTTAAATTTAAATTTTTTTCTTAGTAATCATACATAGAAAATATGTACGCCTGATAAATCTATGTAAGACCTCAAAAACAAAACAAACCTACAAACATCATAGTCAATAATGAAACATTAAAAGCATTTCTTTTAAATTAGAAACAAGAAGACTGCTATAATTCATTGTTATACCTAACATATTAATTTTTGCAGTTAGACAAGAAAATATGTACAAGGGAGAAAGCTTGAAAAGAAAAAAACTAAGCTGTAGAATCAAAATGAGCATATTCAGATTTCTATATTTTGCACTTATTATACAAATCTTCTCTGGATGGAATAAGGGAGAGTAGAAAATATTCTTCCTGTCTTTAAAGATATTAAATTTTATTTCAAATTAAAAATAAATTTAAAAATTTTTAAATCTGCTGAGTGTAAAGCATTTAATATGTTAAAGTTGAGTATGGTTTGTTAAGAAAGACTTGGAGAAAGTGTTTTTTAGCCTGATTTTGAAAGGACAGATTATCTTTAAATAGCCTGAAGTGATAGATATGATATGATCAATTGTAAATGGCACTCTGCTAGATGCTGGATTCAGAACCATAGACAAAATAAAGAAAACTCTTGCCCTCATTAACTCATTAATTTATAGAGGAGAGGATAGCACAGGGGTCATTCTTAATATGAATAATGTTGATTAAAATGAAATTTGGAAAAGATTGTCCTGCATTTTCATATAATTTAAATGGAAAGCTGCAGAAATATACTCCAAATTCAGTGCATTATAATATTTCTATCAGTCAGTTTGGTATAGAATATAAAAATTTAAACCAAAACTTTTTCTTTCTAATCAAAGGTAATTCAAGTCTTCTTTCCTGGAAATAGGCGTATTTTGTCAGCTTTCTTCAATTTTCTTTCTCCTGCATATGCTTTTTTGTTTACGTCTTGATTTTGGTTAAAAGATACTAAAAGTGAATGTGGGCTGCTAATGTCAAATATTTTGATTTTATAAATCACATTTATGTATTAGAATGTGATTAAGACCCTTAAAAATAAGACATGGAGTATGTAAAACACAATTAATGTTAATAGGTGTTAATAGTATTTCCTTTGGAAAGGAATTAAATTTCAATAACTTGTATTATTTAATAATTGATAAATATTTTTATGTTTGCATGAAAATATTTTAATCTAAAGTAACACTTATTTAATCATTGCAATAAAAATTTTTATGTATGACTATATATTTATCACATTATCCTACTCTTCTTTTTATAGAAAATGTGATTAAGAAGGTTGTGGTGAAACAGTGCTAAACCTGGATCTTACATATTTTGAATCACATTTTTTCTGTCATCAAACAGTGGTTCAATGATTAGTAATATCTCTGAGCCACTGGGATAGTTGGGGAAATTAGTAAATTGTAACAGACTAATATGTTTTCCTAAACCCTTTAGTTATGAAAAATATGATTTTATCTATACTCACAAATAAATTTAAGAACCAATGCAAAATTCCATTGCAAATTTTGATTTGCTCATTTTTGATGAAATTTCATTTCAGTCGGTCATTTAGCAATAATTTCATTGAGTTTAGTATGTATACTCAGATGTATTTTAGGATTCTGAGGCAGTAAATAGTATGGGCTCTTGATAACAATGTCACTTCAAAGTCAAAATACGTATGAAAAAACATGCAAACTCAAATAGAAATCCATTGCATAATATGCAGAAATAGAAATCCATTGCATAATATGCTGCCATTTTATAAATGATTTTCAACTACATGAATGCATGTTAGAACTAGTTCTCACTACCATTGCCGTCTCTTTTCCTTTAACCCTATTTATCATAATCAAAATCACAAGGGAAACTAAGTGAAGATACTGCTTTCTAAGGTAGAATATTTTTGATTCTGTTTACTCTTTGTCTGTACATTTAGGTTTGCTAAATCTTCGAACTTAATATAAAGCACATTTTCAGACTTGCCCATTTTAACTGATGTGTTTATAAATACCTAAATTATAGAGCTAAATGCAGCCTGATCTGATTTCTGAATGGTCATGGGGCTTTGACTTAATTGACTGGTTTGATTTTTCAGCTACTTTTACTTCCCTTGCTAAACATTCTGCTAGACATGCTAACAAGAAACGAAATGGTCATAAGGCT